GAGAGAGAGAGAGAGATGGGGGGTGAGTGGGTACGTGTATGTGCATACGGGATTAGTGATCGCTGCTGTGTGTCGTGTCACGAAAATATTCTTTCCCTTGGAAGTGTAGCAAGTGTATAGTTCATTAATAAGTAGTAAAATAGGTTTTTGAATCCAAATATCATACCCACGGAAATTTTATTGGTTTAAGCTCAAATAAACATAGCTTTAATTGAAACAATGAAAACTTGAGATTTTTATATCACTATAAATTGTAATCTACATATAAAAGCAATACCTAAATTAATGAGAATCAATGAAAATGTGTGATTAATGCGGGTTTTTATGAAAATCAATTGATGAAAAGTGCACCTGGATTCTAAATGCCCTTGTATCAATCCCTTTAACTCTAACCTTATAATTTGACAACACGCTCCAATTATAAAGATCAATATTCCTAATTTGTTTAATAATCTCTCTCAAGTAGAATTAAACATATTCTCACACGTGACCCGACTATATTTTTATGACGGATGCGAAAAAAAAGAATGCATTAAAGATTTATGAATACTTAAAGATCACGTAAAACATAACAGTACAGTTCTATCCCCTATCAGACTCTACGTCGATTGATAGTATGTCTAACTTATTTTTCCATCTTTCACGGTAAAACAAGCCACAATATTCATACAATCGTTGTGTACATAATTGTAAAGAAAATAATTCCATGAAAATCATTCAAAAATTAAGAACATGTTTGAATGTCAAAAACAAAAATTAAAAGTTCATGATACAATATTCTTCATAACCCTAGCAGTAGATTTACATAGCCTAACTTGTTGTAAAGAAGAAAGCAGAAGAAATAAAAGTTATTCATCACCTTGAAATTCTTAAATTCAATCTTGAACTTCTTAGATTCGATCTTAATGTCTTCTTCATATCTTTTTGCAATCAATTCTTCACACCTAATTATGCTTTGATAGTTGGTATTTATACTACCCTAGAAATGTCCAAAAATCATGCAAGATTGGCCCAGGAAGAAGTTACCTTGTTGGATTGAAATTCTAAAACAAAATAAAATTCTGGTCACTAACTGGCCTAGGCAAGTGCCTAGTTGAAAACCGAGCAATTGCCCAGTTATTCACTTTAGCCTCTGTTTTCATTTTTCAAGGCGGGTAGTTGCCCCGATCCATATAAATAGGCAAGTGACCAGTTATAATGACTTCTCAAATTTTGCATTTTGGTCATCTTCTTCATTTTGTCCTCAAATTTGATCCTCCATTTTAATTTACATCTATTTTGGTCCTTCAACTTTTTCTCACGTGCACATTAGCCCTCAAATTTTCAGCCAATCATCGATTCATCCCTTTTTCTTTTCCAATTGCTTATGGACGGGTTTAAAACTAAAACAAGAGAAAATTAACCCAAATAAAGTAAAATTTAATACTTTGACGACACAAAAGTTTAGTAATTTAGCTCGAATGAGTGTATAAAATGTACTTATCGTGCCTTGTCGACGTCGTGAGCGCCATGGCAACAACGTCTCCATTGGTGGTATCTGGTAAAGAGAAAGGCAAGATAAGATAGAGATGTAGAGAAAGAAGATAGAGATATAAAGAGAGAAGAGAGAGGCAAAATGATTATGGTTGGGTAGATGAATATATAGATTAATTTAATTTTATAATATTATTATTAATATTAATTATGGAATTATTGCCTATTTTTGAATAATCAAACCTTAAACCTGTTTTTTGAATTATACTCTTTAAAAACCTGTGGCAATATAATTTTCACTTAATTTAGCCTTGTTTGAACCTCCTTTTTGAGCAAAAAACGCATTTTTGAATAGTGTTCTTGTTGGATATTTTGGGGTTAAAAATGAAGGAAAATTTTTCGATTACGTGTAATATTATTTTATAGGAGAATATGTCGTTCAAAATGAATCTTGAAAAAATAAATTCTTAGAAAAATGGGGGTCAAACATAGGCCTAATAAGATTATATAAATATAAAATTTAAATTTACTTAATACATCAATCATCAAAGACATCACGGTCTATTCCACAGTAATATTATAATTAGTCAAAAGAACAATAATTCATTAATTAAAAATTAAATGTAATTTCAGGACAAGCATCACCATAATATAATCCCATAAATAGAATACAGTTTCAATCTGATGTGAATATTTTGGTATGTACTGGTAAATTTGAATGCCTAAATTATTGTTTATAATACAATTGTGATTTTTATATGAACAAATAATTAGACGTCAAGAAGGAGACTACCATTTTTTTTTAGCAATTGGAGATATGGGTGGTAAGTGGAACGAGTCATTCACCGACTCTTCTTCCTCCATTAATGAGTCGAATAGCGATTTGATCATAAAATCCTGATAACTCTTTTAATTGAATTTGGCGTTTAACTCTAAGCTCAGCTCATTGCTCCACTGTTGTTAACATAATCCGGATATGATAGAGATTGATATCCACGAAACCGTACACTTCTTCGTAATCTAAACTTGAATTGCGCTACAATGACATAATCATTGATACAATGGTTGACAAAATATCATATGTCACTTCATCATTGGACTGTTTTGAACACATTCGGCTTTTTCATTCTATCATATTTTGTCAATTAATATTATGTCACTCCATCCGCAACCACTTTCTATCAAAGTGGCATAACTCTCCGAATTTAGTCTGAAACCCTTACTTTGTACACAATGTGCAATATTGTCATTTAGGCTTAAAGAAGTTAGCATCTACACCATTAGCTATTAGTGAACTCGACGACGAAACAACTAATACCACGCTAAGCAACACGCCTAACTAGCCAAGACCTACACTGAGGCACCACATTGGACTCATTGCCCGAGGATTCTTGATTGCAATGAATCAATTTAAACTTCCCAAGAATGGGAACGTTACCAAAGTAAAATATGCAATCCTCCAAAGAAGACTTGGATTGCTGACCGGATCCATCTAGGGCACGGCTCAATTTTCTTGCTAACTTAAATGCACATATGTAGTGTATCACCATTGTCAAACACGTTGTACCAATGGCATACCGTGATGTGTTGTTCATGTGGAACATCATTAATGCACTGAAAAATTCCTCCATTAAAGGGTTTCTGAGGATGGAAAGAAAGTTAATATCGGTGTCAACTAGAACAATTCTTATGTCTATGAATCTGACCTGATACGAAAATCTGACAGCATTTCCATAAGCCCATTAATATCCAACAATCGCAAAGGGAAATAGACACATTGTTATAAGTAAATATGATATTATCACTCTTCTCCACATATGCATGCTCGATGGACGTTCTTTACTCGAGCGCATTGTCCCCTGCATCAATAAATTTTAGCATCTATTAAGCTCGGCTGCTGTGGGAGTATATGGTACATGCTAAGTTTCTTGGTGAATGTAACACCCCGAAAATTTATAGAAAATTTTATTTGTACTATATGCTTCATTTTGGAAGGTTAAGGACTAAAGTGATATAAGTGATA